AAATAAACTTCTGGGGCACTCCCTTCAGGGAAAGGCAGCGCCAGAGTTTAAGGCGGTCGACTGAGTCGAAAGCCGCTTTGAGATCCAGGTAAATAAAAAAAATGGTGGGGCTACGAAAGGAGTGTCTATGTTCTAGAATTTGACGAAGTGTGAAGATGTGGTCAATACAGCGTCGATCAGGTCTGAAACCAAATTTGACGAAGTGTGAAGATGTGGTCAATACAGCCTCGACCAGGTCTGAAACCGGCCTGTTTCTCACGCGTACACCGTTCACGTGCGGCAGACAATCGACGGAGTATGATACCGGCGAGAAGTTTAGAGACAATATTGATTCAACTAATTCCTCTGTGGCTTTCACAGGAGGAATTATTATTTATGATTCCTTTCGTTGGCAGCGGTCTGCGAATTTCAGTTCACTGTATTACACTGTAAGTTGATGATGGTGGTTTCGTTCGGTGCCTTAAACGTTATCGGTTTTCTATAGAGTAAATGCTCTGCTCTGCTATAACCGGGTCGGGGAACCACTGGCACTTCACTAAGGGGAGTTGGTTAAAACCGCTGTTTCCCAACCAGTCTAGTTATGGCGATGGCCACCGGCTTGATTGTGCATCGAGATGTATTGGGCACTTCTGAAGTTTGACCTCATACGGCGTATGATTCGATGAACTAGGCGCCGGCTCTCAATGGATCGCTATTTTCACACGCCACCCCGTTTCCTTGCTCGTCCGATTTTGATTACTCAAAGACTCCGGTTGTGAATTCCCAAAGAAAATTCGCCTGCTTTGGTTAGCGGTATCGCACCCACGAGCAAATCATGTAACTTTCTTTTCATAAGGATTTGTTGGGCTCACATAATCTGGTATCCGTGTGTGAAATATATTTTAAGTGTTACGAAGAGATTGACCAGTGATGGTTTGAGTATGATCATGGAAGGCACCACCATTTTTTTCACGTTTCCAAACATGTCACATAATCTCCGTTTGCCCCGTGTCTTTTCAATATAGTACATTCAGCGATCCAGTGCATCACCTTCAGGTCGAATGTTCAGCAGTAGTCCATATCATGAAGATCGTATGCAAATGCCTGGCTTCCCGTATCATCCCATTTTTGACGACTTCCCTCAGTTCCCGGTAGGTTTTACGTTTTTCCGGTTTTCAGACCTATCTGGTCTGTTTCGTTCAAGTCAAAGGCTAAATTCACTAAATAGACAATTACAGTCCTTCTGACTCTGCTCTGTTATAGACTCCCCCTAAGTTTATCGTTACACCTTTGTGGATTAAGGTTGCCACTCCCAAGCACATCTTTTCCTTGTGATCGTCATTTCACGGGTAAAACGCCCTTTCGTACACTGGATTGGTGCTGTTGTGCGATGATAAGTCGTAAAAACAATAATTTCCGATTGAGTTTACCGATAGAAATCTCAGTTTGTTTAGCCAGGTATTTATGTATGAGTTGTGCTGCATGACAACTTTATTTTTGTTGCAAATACCCTTGACCGTCTCAAATAATTGGTAAATGTATTTGACTTTGATGTCGATTGTCGGGTTGCCGGTTTCCAACTCGTCCCAGGGTGCTCAAATAAGCAGTTTCTGCATCTTCTGATAACATTCTTCAGTGCGGATTCTTTTACGTGTTCACATATGAAACCAAAGCATTGGCCAAATCAGTTATAAGTTCTTTTTAAAATTGCGGTTTCACTTTCTCTCTGTTCATAGTTGGCTAGCTTTATTTCTCACCCTCCCTAGACCGGCCATGCAGACGTAATCTTAGCTTTTGTTACCATCGTTCCTGTTCATTGGCCCATGTGTCGAAGTATAAGTATATCAACATTCCAGACAGTTATTCGCATTTTCACGGTTCTATCTCTCCTAACACGTAGTCACTGCCACCGGATCCAAATCGACCAGATTTCGATTCCGAATTTCGTCAGTCCCGACTTCACCCACCTACCTCAACTTCGGGGATGCGCCGTATCCCTATTCAAGTAATCAAACATCCTGTGACTGTGATACCAGGTACTAACACCGGTGCTTCTGCTTCGCAAGATTCTCCGGTTAGTGTGTCTTTACTTCGTTTTATTTCTCTCCACCACTACCAAGTTGGGATTCATTTTAACTTTTTACCCATGAATTCTACCGTGTTTTCCATACTGTGTCTTCCGCTTGTCCACGCCCTTTCATAGGTTAATCTGTAAAAAATTATCACACACACTGGTCAGCTGGTTCATTTGATCCATCAGCAATGTTCACCAACGATCTCCCGACTAAACTTAATTTTGTGGCTGGAAAGACGTTAGCGACAATTTTGACGAACGTTAAAGGTCTTTAAGTTATCATCCAATTTCGTAAATGTGCTTTAAAGTCGTTTACCTATCGTTTATTATTTGAGAAAATACTTGGCCTTCGTTCATCCTCCTCAGAGTACAAGGGTGTTATCGTCAAGTTAAATCAAAATGAGCTTTATCCACCTGAGGGGTAGATTTTCACCATTTCATAAACACACAATAGGTATATATATATATATATATATATATATATTCACGCAGGCAGAAGTTAGAATTTAATGCCTGACATTCAATGAAAATCGGGTCATTTCATCATGCGAACAGTGTTTTTAATTACAAGTTATCCCGTCAGCATATCCATCACAGTTGTCAAAAGGGTTAGAAGCGGTTGAAAATCAATCAACGAATTTTTATTTGTATCATGACACCTGGTATGAAGTTCAGACAACGGATTAAAATCCCTCTTTTTCCAGAAAAGTTTCTAAATAAAAACATTACTTGAGAGTAATGGAGGGTTTGATTCAGTTCCAGAGGGGGATTGTGTCGTGTGAAAAGCTAGGAAGCACTGTACAGCTGTTTCAACCTGGTTGGGTCTCTCGTTACAAATAGTCAGGTTTCAAAAGTGTTCAATCGAGTCATAACCCCAGAGGCTAGTACTGAGCTGAGCTGGGCGCGATAACCGCAACAAGCTCGCCAAGATGAGTCATGCTGTCGTGTAAATACTGGATGAAAAAAAGGTTTGAAATAACAACGTTGTTAAACAGAAGTTGCCAGAAGTATTGCCAAGCTTTTCAAAACGTTAAGCAATGCATCCCTTCTGTTGAACAACGCTGTGTTATTCACAAGCTTTTCTGGATTTATGTCAAGCATAACTTGTTTGACCGCATTCATACAGATGTTACAATATTTACATAATCTCTCTATTTTCATTCGGGCAGAATATGAGAAAACAACACAACCGTAATGCGTATAATTGATCACGCATTCGATGTGACTCTGAAAATGCTAAGTGTTTTGTTTGAATGAATAAAAGAACAAGCTGTGAACATTTAAATAAAAATTCTCAATATGAGGACATCGGGATCAGTTATAAGTCAGACAAACATTAAAGTGCTTGACATCATAGAACTTGAAATGTTTTGACTGTTATGGGTAATTGAAACAGCCTTCTCCCGATATGAACTTGAATAGAGAACACAACAGCACAGTGTTGCAGAATTTATTTCCGAACTGTAGTATATACCTGAAGAGATACAGCGAAATTTTTCCGGAAATAAATTGCGCAACACTGTGCTGCTGTGTTCTCTATTCAAATGTTATGGGTGAGCTGATTATTATCATTATATTTATTTATTATAAGGAAGGTGCATCAAGAAATCTACAAACCACAAAGGAAAGGCTTCCGAACATCTTAGAACCCACGCCGTCAACCATATTATCTCAAAAGGATGGAACGCAAAATAACAAAACAGTGTACTCTGGGAAAAGCGCAGTTGTAAGCAACCGAGCAAAATACAGGGACGACTAACAAGCAGCGGTCGATCAGTGGTAGGAAGCCAGTGTGGTTGGTTCTCCGTAATAAAACAGAAAACTGGCGCAGAAATTTGATAGACCAGTGAATTGTTTCCCGTGGATCACTGGAAGTCCACCTAGGAGAGTTGGCCAAAATCCCTGATTCCAAACCAACCATGAGGAGGCTCACGGACCACAAGCAACACCTTATCGGATGTGGATGTGGTCACCGGCTCGATTGGGCATTGAGGTGTATTGAGTACCTTGCACGTCTGACCCCGTCCGAA